AAAATCCTGGCCCTTGCCCAGATTGATCTCTGAAGGACCACTCCAGCTCAAGAGTGCCCCTTGGGAATAGCTTAGGTCACTAATGCAACAGCATCACCACAGTTTAACATCTCCCTCTACCCAGCTTCCTCTGCTCCCTCTCAGATTGCACCTGAGAGTCTTACCCCAGTAAAACTCCTGCACACAAATCTCAATGCCCCAGATTCTGTTTCCTAGGGACTCGACCTGGAACATATTGGCAAAAATCAACCTTGATCCCATCTCCTACCTTACATGCAATCAATTCCAGATGAGAGTATTTGCTAAAGATAAGTGGCAAAACATAAAATCTCTGAGTTTCTAATATAACAGCCTCCATTACTTTGGAGTTGAGAGATATTTCTAAAGAGGACACAGAAGCACTAACCATAAAGAAAAAGACTGATAAATTGGACCACATTACAATGAAGACCTTCTGTTTATCACAGGATGCCATTAAGAGTGAAAAAGCAAGCCATAGAGCAAGAGAAGATATACACAATACCCGTAATCTACAAAGGGCTTGTATACAAAGTATATAAAGTAAGACCAAAAAATCTATAGGATGGACAACCCAAATAAAAACAGGTACTTTCCTCCAAAAAAGATAGCAAAATGGCCATCAAACATGTGAAAACAAATTCAAACTTGTTAGTACTCAGGAAAATGCAAGTTAAAACCACATAAAATACTCTAAACCTGCTGGAACAGCAAGACTGACAGCAGCAAGTGCTGGTGAGAAGGCAGAGGACTTGGAATTCTCATCACAGCTTGAGGAAGCTTGTATTACATAGTCCCATAAAACTGAGCGTGTGCATGCATGTCACTTTCTGGGGAATGTCCCCAAGAGAAACGAGTGCACATATATTCCAAAACACTTGTCCATAAATGTTCATAGCAATATTATTCATAATAACAAAAAAATTCAGCATAGTCCAAATGCCTATTAATTTTTATAGGTAATAAAGACAGAAAAAAGGCAGGGAAAAATAGAGTCAAATAGATGAAGGATAATCAGGAAATGCCCGAAAAGCAATAGGATTATGCTGAGGCAGAATCTAGAAATTGGTATAGCCTTGAGTGAGAGAATGGTAGGGGGAAACAAATTTAAAATTTTAGAGATAGTGCCTCAAATAATTAAGGAAGAAGCGGTTCTTGATTTATTTGTAGAAATTCATGTAATTCATTCCTTTCCTCTAAATAGAGTGTTATATACACAGCTTAAAAATAGAAATGAGCAGAATGGAAATAAGGTCATCTATTCCTTTAGTGAGAAGCTCCGTGTCAAACCTCTGCTCCTCCCAGCTGTCTAATGCAGGAGCAGCAGACCACACCACTGGCACCCCTACCACCAGCCTCGGAGCCATCAGCTCTCCTGGGTGCAGGCCTGTGAGAGTTAAGTTTATATGTCAACTTGGCTGGGCCATAGTGTCCAGATATTTGGCCAAACATTGTTCTGGATGTTTCTGTGAGAGTGTTTTTGGATGAGATTAACGTTTAAATTGGTAGACTTTGAATAAAGCAGATTGCTGTCCATAAGGGCAATTGGATGAGGGTGGGCCTCATCCAATCGGCTGAAGGTCTTAATAGAACAAGGACTGACCTCTTTCGAGCAAGAAGGAATTCTGCCAGCAGACTGCCTTTGGACTCAAATGGCAACTCCTTTCTGAGTGTCCAGCCTGCCAGCCTACCCCGTCAGATGTTGGATTCACCAAGCCTCAACCATCATGTGAGCCAATTCCTTAAAATAAATTTCTCTCAATCTCTCTGTCTCTCTCTCTCTCTCCATATATATGTAACATTATACACACACACACACATATATATATAAAATGTCTACACACATTTTACATTTACCTCTTGGTTCTATTTTTCTGAAAAAGCCTGACTAATACAAAGCCTAATATCTGGGAAAAATCAATTCCCCCCCTTGAGTGAGCCTGGCATGAATATTACTGGCTTCAATGCATTCTTAGTCCTAAGTGAAAACCATGTAAGTTCCTCTACTCTTTCTGAAACTCACAGTCTTAAACACGTCCTTCCCTCCCAGTCTTTCAAACTCCACCCTTTCTTCTGGGTCTTTACATGGACCAAACTGAAGACTGTCTGCATTTTTCGCGAGAGTCGTGTATCCCTGCCAGGTTCTGGTCCCCTGCTGTGCTTGTGTCTTCTCTGTCATCTGGCTCTCCTCTGAGCAGGCTTGTCTCGTCTTGAGCGTCCCCTGACGCTCAAAGGGTCCCCAGGATCCTTTTCATTCTTTGAGATTTTATTCAACAGATTGAAACTCTCTATAAACTAAATCCTTCTCTTTAACGTCAAAAGCTTCTCAGATTTCCATTTTTTTCTTTAATAGAACCGTATCCCCAAGGTCAGTCTTGCCCAGCTCTGCTTCTGAACAAGACCGATATCCTAAGGTTACAGTTTCTTCCCTCTGGCTAGCTCCAAGAAATCCTTTCCGGCCCTAATGTTGATTCACTACCTGCTCATTCTCTAGCTCAGAATTACCCAAGGGTTTATAAAAACATAGTTTGCTGGGCCCCATTCCCAGAGTTTTTGACTGTGTAGGTCTGGAGTGGTGCCTGGGAATTTGTGTTTCTAACAAATTCCCAGCTGAGGCTGATGCTGTGGATCCAGGGAACACACTCAGAACCACTGCTCTAGCTCTGGTTCATGAATTGCTGCCTCCGGTGACTGTTGCCTCCCTTTAGTCCTTTAGTCCCTAAATCTTTTTTTTTTTTTTTGAGAAAGATTAGCCCTGAGCTGATGTCTGTGTCCATCTTCCTCTACTTTATATGTGGGACACCTGCCACAGTATGGCTTGATAAGGGAATGCGGATGTCAGCACCCAGGATCCGAACTGGCGAATCCTGGACGCCCAAGCACAGCACGTGAACTTAACCACTAACCCACCAGGCCGGCTCCTAGTCAGGAAATCTTTTATAGATATTGTCTCTGCTGGTCTAGGATGAATCTCAGAGTGGGGAAAGGAAATGGGAGCTCTCATACAGCCTTCCACTACAGAGATAGGCCAAGGATACTGGGAATTCAATTCAACATCACAGCCATTTTTTTTTTGAGTGGCTAGTGTGATATAAAGCACTGTCTGTAATACAAGGCTGAATGTATTATATAATAATAAATGTAAAATGGCCATGGGACCGTAGCAGGCGTTGTTGGTGCCCCAGGCACATTCCCTAGGCTGACCCCAGAGGTCAAGGCCAGGACTTGCTCTCAGGTTCATGCAAGTGCTGAGTCAGCAAAATCATAATCCTGAGTAAGTACATCCTTAAATTTTGTGCTCTAGGGGCCTCACTTGCCTCCCCCTACTCTTGGCCCTGCCAAAGGTCACAACAGAAAGTTCCAGTATCCCTGATGGAGTCCAGCCTTTTTCTGCACAAGGGTTTTCTGCGGACCAGAGGAGTCCACTTGGCCTGCATGCAAGGCAGGCCTGAACTACACATGCAATGCTCAGTCACACATACAGCTGGTAACGGAGCCAAAGGCTCATGAAATTACAACGCAAAGTGTTTAGAGTAAGAACAACAGAGGGCCTAAAACTGGCATTTGAGAATGCCAACATATAAAGCATGGGATTTAGAAGGAGAAGCTCGCAAGTTGTTGAGAATTGGTAAGGAGAAAGAAATCAGTATAGTCTGAGATCAGCTTCAATGCCTGAATGAAGTGTCCAAGACACAGGACTTCAAGAAGCTTCCAGCCTCGTAGGGGAAACAGGATCTGCACTTGAAAAGATAGATATTCTGGTGCTAAGCATCAAATCAGTGTTGAGGATAGACTGTGACAAAGAGGAATAAGCTAAGACTTAGCTTAACTTGACCAATATGGTTCTCAGTTTTTCCGCTTAGAAAACGGTGACAGTGATGTTGATTGCATAGGATTTTTGTGACAATTAAGTAAGACAGTTAATCTAAAGTTCTAAGGTCATTTACTGGTTCATAGTAAACACTCAGTAAATGGTCGTTTTTGTAGTTTCTGTTGTGATGCTGTTGCTGAGTGAAGTTGAGGAGAGAGGGAGCGAGCTGTGGCTGCGTTGGGGATGACAGATGATGGATGATGTGGAGTTGGAACGGTCAGAACGTAAAGCAGGATTCAGCTGCATTCTGGATCGAGATGCCTAAACAGATGCAAGGTCAGCAATCGTTCACAGACGAGTGTGAGTCAGAAGAGTGTTTGTTTCGAGTGTGTGCAGCTTGAGGAGGGAGGTATTAAGAGTAGATAGCAGCCCGACTGGAATCTTGGAGTAAGGAATTTGGGCCTTTCCTCAGAGTTAATCCAGAACCTCTGAAGATTTACGACAAAAAAATAACATGAATGAAAACAATCTTTTGTTAAGATTGGTTTATAAATCTAGAGTGGTAGTAGGAAAAACGATGCCAGGTAGCTCAGTATCTCGAATATGAGATGATGCTAGGTTAGGAGTGGAAAGGGAAAGCAAGGAGAATATTCAAGATATATTCAAAAGAGAGGATCAGTTCAACAGAGAAGAAGAAGATGTGTTAGGTTTGGGTAAGAAGGTGTGAATGGGAGTGGTGCATCCCTTTTCTTCATCCTTGGGTTTCAAGGTCGGTTTTCTGAGTTGTGTTAGTCTGCTCGGGCTTCCATAAGAGAGTACCACAGGCCACATGGCTTAAACAACACACTTCTTTTCTCACAGATCTGGAAGCCAGAAATCTAAGATCAAGGTGCCATCCGTGTTGGTTACTGGTGAAGTCTTTCTTCCTGGATTACAGATGGCTGCCTTCTCACTGCCTCCTCACATGTTCTTTCCCTGCACAAGTGCAGAGAGGAAGAGATCTCTGATATCTCTTCCTCTTCTTGTAAGGAACGAGACCTATTGCATTAGGCTCCCACTCTTATGATTTCATTTAACCTTAATCACCTCCCTAAGGTCCCTATCTCCAAATGCAGTCATATTGGGGGGAGGTTAGACTTCAACATATGAATCTGGTGGGGGACACAATTCAGTCCATAACAATGGTGTTAATGCTACTATGAGACGTAGGAAGTATAAAGTTTGAGCTAATGGAGAGGAAGATAATTTTGGCTTTATACGTGGTGGTTGGTTAACCTACAGCATTATCCAATGAGACATTCTGCAGGGATGAAAATGTTCTATATCAGCATTGTCCATTATGGTAGCCACCGTCACAAGTGGCAACTGAACATTTAAATGTGGCTAGTGAAGCAGATGACATGAATTTTCAATTGAATATACGTTTAATTAAATTTAAATTTAAACTGTATTGGACGGCACACATTACAACTACAGGAACCTTAGGCTAAAGAGGTCCCGTCAATAATTGGATAGACAAGGCTCCTCCTAGGCCTTAAAGTCTTGTACGGTAGATATTCAACTTCAAACCATTCTTGTTGTCGAATGAAACGCTGAAGTTCTGAAAGATACGTGACAGTTCCGAGTTCACATGGCTAGTCAGTTACAGATCCTCAGTTAGAGCTTAAACACATTATGGCAGCAGTTCTGCAGTTAAGAGTGTTTGACAGTCAGCTGGAGATCTGCAACTGTCTGTCAAGGACTGAGATGGATGCTTTGGAGTCGTCCCATGGATGTGGTGGTTGCAGCCATGAAAGTGGATATAATCTAGAAAGAGAAGAGAATGGGATTGCATGTGAAGCCTCAGCAAATACTCACACCTAAATAGAAGGAAAATAAAAACAAATCAGAAAAGGAACTAGATTTTCATCTGCAAAATTTATACCAACAATCAGATAGCTCTAGAGTGCCAGCACCTCAACATATTCAAAATTCATCTCAGGGAAGTGGGCACAACGATAAAGAGCAAGAGCTCTTGCTGCCTTCACATCAAATTTCCATCCTATTTTAGCTGGGTGACCAGAGCAAGGCACTTAACCTCTCTGTGTTTCAGCTATCCTCCTTTCTAAAATGGGGATAATGGCAAGACTTACTTCAGAAAACTATTGAGAAGATTGAGTGAGATGGCATGTAAAGTGCCCCCAACCCCTGGTGTGTAATATACATTCTTTAAATTTTATACAAAAAAGTAAAATTTATCTTGTCCCCAATCTTGTTTCTCTGCCTATGTCCCTGATCTGGGCTAATGGCATTGCCCTTCATCTAGTCAATCTTTCTGGAAACCTGAGTCATCTTTGATTCCTTCTTCTTCATTCCCCACATCCAGTAATTCGCCAAGTGTTATTGATTCTAGCTCCACAGTGTCTTTCAAATATAGCCACCTCTCTCTGTGACCTCCACGACTGCTCTCACTCAGGTCCTCAACACTTTCACTTGGCCCATGGTCATATTGGACTTTCTGTCAAAAGTGTCTCTGTTTCCAATGTGTTTGTTACACCCATGCATTCGCTACACCATCTCCAGGGCAGTATTTGTAAGCCTGAGGTCATTTTGCATCCCTCCCCTGGCAGTTTCCTTTTGCTTACAGGATTAAGTTGATATTCCTCAGAATGACATTCAGGGCCCTTCACAACCTGCCCCCAGCCTACATCTGCATTTGGAGTAAAAGTATTTCACCTTTCACTTTGAACCAAGAACGTGTAAATATGAATCAATGCATTTAAAAAATTCAAGTGAGTAATTGTCTTGTGACCGTGTGGACCTGGGAGGAGGAAGCAGGTTTTTTCATTTGTCTCCTGGGGGAAGATACAAACTTCCTTATTAAACCCTGCAGAGAAGTTCCTCACCAGTACTTCCTCTAACTTGGGAGATCCCGTGTCCTCATTTGCCCAGACAATCCTTGTTGATAGCTGTTGATTCTGTATAATTTTTAAGAGCTTCCCCTTTTTTATTCTCAAAAGTGTCCTAGTTTGGGCAATAAGTTATATGGTCACCAAGAACCCAATTTGCCACAATAAGTCAGTATGAAGACATAAAGGGCAGCAACAGAATGATCCTCCCCCATTCTTCGGGCAGTTGACTTTGGAGTTACTCTTCACTTCTGTCAACATCTATTTCCTTTTGGAACTAGTTCAGGGCTGCTTAGTCCTCCTGAAGCATCTCCTCCGAGGCATTGCTTCCTACTTCCCCAACCCCTTTACTAAAAAATCACCTCGTGGCCCTGTTCTCTGAACCTAGTTGATGAGGAAAACCATTAGCTAGAAAGTGGCTAGATGTGCCACCTTCCCAGAGAGTATTTACAAATTTTAAAGGGACCTTAAGAGCCCTGACCAAAGGGATGACTAATGGAGGAATTTTAGAACTGTGTAGGTGTCAGCAGTGTCATTAATGTGATGCATCAGAGGCCAGGGATGGCATGAGGGGCCAGGGATGACGTGAGCCATTGCTCACACCTTGACCGACAAAATGAAGGAGAGAGATGGCAGGAGGTGGGGAGGTGGGAGGGAAGCACATTAAGTAATGACTGATCCTGGAAACTAGGAGAAATGTGAAAATTAAAGAAAGAAACAACTCAGGGAAATTACAGATGGGGACTCCCTGGGCCTGGATTTGGAAATTGAACATGAGAAAAAAATTGTCAGTAGAGAATACACAAGCTATTACAAAGAACTGGCGGCATTCCAGCCAAGCCAAGTCAGCCAGGCAGAAGGCAGGATGCATAGAGTGACAAGCAGCCTGGCTCTCTGGGGCCTCCAAGCTCCCCTATGCCAGCTCAGGACTGAGGGATGTTCTAGCATGAGCTTCGCGAACAGTGCTGGTCAAGAGAAATAAATAGGAAGAAACTTTCTAAAATGGAAAAATGAAGAGCTGACTTTAGTCAAGCGAGTATTTAAAAGGTTTCAGAAAGGGAGATGAGAAGACGGAATAGATCCTGTCTTGGGAGGACTTTACAAACTAAGTTAAGACAAGAGAACAAAGACATTTCAGAGCCTGTGCTGAGAAGGAGAACCCTAAGAGGAGCAATGGAACCATGCCTGGGATGGAGTTAGATAGGGTGGGAGCCCTTCCATCAGAGGGGCAGGAGAAATAGACGGTGGAAGGCACAGGGAGGGATTTTCAGCAATCTGTTTCTTTCTTCCCCTCTTCCCTCCCTCCTTTCCCTTGTCCTTCCTTGTCTCCTTCCCTCTCTCCTTCACTCCCTTCCTTTATGTCTTCCCAGCTTGGATGTGGGCTTTTGACTGGTGTGCCTTAATCTGCAGACTGACATGGGACACGCCACGATAGATGCAGTGACCTCCGGGAAGGTGGAACTCTCTCAGGCAAGGGGGCAGATAATGGAGGAGACTGCTACAAGCAGAAGCTCAGTACCATGTATGACTTTATTCCCCATTTAGCAGAAAAGTTTGACTATTACATCCTTTTGAGGATCCTATAGAAATTGGCCAAAACCTGAGTCATCATATGTATAGACGGCCCTAGGAGGCTAGACCTTTCCAGTCTGAGAGACTATTCTCAAAAGAATCAAGTGCTAATTCGCACATGGCTGGTAACTCTATAGAAGAAAAACTCAATCTCATCTGTAATCAAGAGAGCAAAATGAAACAAAAATAAATGCCATTTTTGCATTTTGTATTAGTAAAGACTTAAAATCAAAAGGAAAAAATCCCAAGGTGAGTGAGGAAGGAATAAAATAGGTAATCATATACTATTTGTGGAGTTATAAATTGGTATAACTATTTGGGGAAGATTGGGCAATATGTATCAAAATTTTATAGAAAGAAATCAATTACAAATATGCCAAAATAGTTTTATACGAAATTATTTATCATAGTGTTATTTAGAATAGTGAAAAAATAGAAAAACTAAATATGAAACATTAAAGGATTTATTTTTTTTATCTTTTTTGAAATATATCTCACACACAACTTTGTGTAAATTTAAGGTGTACAACATGTTAATTTGATACATTTCTATATTGTACTATGATTGCACTGTAGCCATAATTAGCAGCTGTATCACGGTGCACAATGCAAATAAAAACCACAGTGAGATATCACCTCACACCTGTTACAGTGGCTATCATTAGGAAGATGGGAGATAACCAGTGTTGGTGAGGATGCAGAGAAAAGGGAACCTTTGTGTACTGTTGGTGGGAATGTGAGTTGGTGCAGCCACTATAGAAAACAGTATGGAGGCTCCTCAAAAAGTTAAAAACAGAACTACCATATGATCCAGCAATTCCACTTCTGGGTATACACATAAATGATTTATTAAATAAATTATGGGACATTTGCTAGAATATTCTACCATTAAAAATCATAAGAAATACGAACATGAAGAATGTTCATATATATACATTTAAAAAGCATTTTATAGAACAATAATGCATATGATTTCAATTCTTGTCATATTATATATACATAGTAAAAAGTGGAGTTTTATATAAATAATAATTTATAGGTTTTTTTTAAGGGTGAGCTCACTCACTATGGCCAGGGTTGCAGTATAAACCTGATGCACCAAAATCTCTCTTGGCCCAGGACTTGACACGTGCTGTTCCCTCTGACAAGCTGTCTAGATTGCTTTCCTCACCTCTCCCACCCTCCTCCCCCTGCTAAAGCTCTGACCATTCTTCAGAAGAAGATGCTTTCTTCATGGAAACCTTCCCTGACCCCTGTCCCCGATCTGGTTCCTCTATTATATGCTCTCTGGGACTATTTTCTTCTTCCTTCAGAGCAACATCTCAATTTGTAGTAAATCACGTGATCCTTAAAATAGCTGTTTTGTCAATGTCTGTCACTCTCCCTTGAAGGTAAGCTATACTAGCACCCAGAGCATATTTCTTCTTGTTCATGATCACATCCTCATACCTAGTGAGTGTGCCTGACACATATTTTTGTATTCAGTAAATGGTTATCAGATGAATGAATGAATATGAGTATTCATACTTGAATATAAATAAATGAATGAGCACCAAGTTTCATTCTCACTTGATCTGGAAATCATCCAGATTAAATAATACTCAAAATTTGTTAAAAAAAAAAAAAAAAAGAAGATAGATAGACAGATAGGTAGATAGATAGATAGATGCCCCAGTTTTGTTGTGGTCTGGAGTCAAATAGCCTTCATCATCCAAAGGCATACATATGTGACATTCAACATACATTTATTCATCATCTATTATATAGTATAGAGGTTAAGATCAGAGGTTCTAGGATTCAATGACCTGGTCAAATACCTCCTATGTGACCATTGGGAAGTTAATTAACAATTCTGTGCCTTCATTTACTCATCAGATAACAGGAATTTTAATAGTACATATCTCAAGAGGTTGGGAAAATTAAGTTAATACAAACAAATAACAGAGCCTGGCACATGGCCACAGTATATGGGATAAACAAATGTTAATTATTGTCATTGTTGCTATTAATTTTGGTATCTGAAAGCCCTGGTACTGTAAGCTGTGGAGGAGGCAATGATAAATTAAGCAAGGTATTGCCCTATAGGAGCTTGTAGTTAAGAAGACAAGATAAGGGAATAAAATAGTGGAAGGAGCACAGATGAAATGAGAGCACTAAGAGAATTCAGAAGAGGGAGCAAGGTGCATCCAGGGCGATTCTTCTCTTGGCATCAGATCAAAGACAAACTCCAATGTTGTTTAAACAGCAAGATATATCTTGTTTACATTTTAATGATAGTAAATAGATGCTCTTAACCAATTGAAACTCTCCACTAACTTAGTTAGTCACTCTAACCCATTTGGATGTAGTCACAGCAAGGGGCAACCACAGCTTTGAGCACATTTTGAAAGAATTCACATAAAGACATCTCCGTGCAGGTTCTCCAAAGACAGGGCCAATGGACATCAACATCAGACTCAGAACACACTTCCAGCTGGCCAACCATGGTTCCTTCTTCTGCATAAAATACTCTTTCTGTTTTTGCAAAGAGTCTGGAATAAGAAGCCTTCCTGGAACCCTTGTTATTCTACTGTTCAGCCTGATGGAAATGAGAGACCACTCTTCCTCTTGCTTAGGTACGGCAGTTCTCTGCCAAGATAAGGTCACACCAGAAGAGATGATTGTTACCTAATAAAACAGCTTTGCCCAACTCCTGTTAATCATGACTGAGTTATTTTATGAAACGCTTAGAGAACTATCACCTCCTACACCCCACTAGAAGTCCTTGTATATAGTTTCTCTTTCAGCGTAACAATGTTGAATCAGCAAAGGGCCATTTCCATGGAATATCGCTTGCAGGCAGATTGCCCCACCAAACTCTTCTCTGAATACTTCCCACGACCATCAGCACCCCCATTCCCCCTTATACATCTCTCCCTCATTCTGGAAAAGCCGACGTATCAGCCCCTCCAATAGTTTACTGTACCTCAGTCCTTAACGTGAAACGACAGAGCAGTAGAGCTGGTGGAGGGAAAGCAAAGTCAGTCAAATCCAAACACAGCACAATTTAGACCCTAAATAGACCTAATCCTTAGTATCTCAAATAAGCATGAAGGAAAATAAGCAAACTGAATTGACATTACTAACTAATAGACTGATTAACCACATTAAAACGTAGAATACTTTTCCACAGTTCTGAGGCTAAGCAGAAGACATAATTTAAAAAATTGAGAATTCTTGGCTGAGGGCTTCTCTTAGCTAATTTCCCATTCACTCAATGGTTCATTCTTGAATGCAGTCATTCATTTATCAAAATTGTGTTGAGGACCTACTGTGTGCCAGATGGCACTTGGATGCAGAGGATTTAGCAGTGATCCAGGCAGACACATTCCCACATGGGAAAGGAGATGGACAAGAAACAAGCAAACAAATAAACAGGGCACTCACAGATTTTTTAAGTGTTATAAAGGAAACAAACAGCAAGGAACAAAAAGAATAACATGGGAAGGGTGAGAAGAGGAATAGAAGGAAAAACTAGAAAACACAGAGTAGCCAGACAAAGCCTCTGTAAGAACAGGATGTTTGAGCTGAAACCTGAAGGGTGGGCATGAACCAGCCATGCAAAGTTCCATCTAGACAGAAGGAACAAGTGTGAAGGCTCTGATAAGACAAGAGCTTAGTGTGTTAAAAATAGGTGATGGGATGGAGGTGTTAGCTAATGCTATGATGGTAATAATGTGGCAATATATATATGTATCAAATCAAGTTGTACTCCTTAAATTTACACAATGTTATATGTCAATTATATCACGATAAAGCTGGAAAGAAAATACAAAAAGGAGGCCATCATGGGTGTAGTGGAGAGGAGTGGGGAGGTTGGAGTGCTGAGATAAAGCTGGAAAGGTATACTTGATTCAGTTTGCATTTTATTTTAAAAACTATTGGAATACCATATATAAAAATTAACTCAAAATGGATCATTGGCCTAAACATAAGAATTAAAACTATAAAACTCTGGGAAGAAAACATTGAGGTAAAGCTTCATGACATTGAATTTGGCAATGATTTCATGGACATGACACCAAAAGCACAGGCAACAAAAGATAAAATAGGTAAATTGGAATTCATCAAAATTAAAAATTTTGTGCATCAAATGACACTATCAACAGAGTGAAAAGACAACCTACATAATGGGAAAAAATATTAGCAAATCATATGTCTGATAAGAGATTAATATCTAGAATATATAAAGAGGTCCTACAACTCAACAACAGAAAACAGACAACTCAACTCAAAAATAGGCAAAGACCTTGAATAGACATTTCTCCAAAGAAGATATACAAATAACCCATAAGCACATGAAAAGATGCTCAAAGTCACTAATTATTATGGACATGCAAATGAAAACCACAATGAGATACCCCTTTACACTCACTAAGATGGCTATTACTAAAAAAGGGAAAAACAAGTCTTGGCAAGGATGTGGACAAGTTGGAACCCTTGTGCATTGCTGGTGGGAATGTAAAATGGTGCAGCCACTGTAGAAAACAGTATGGAGGCTCCTCAAAAAATTAACTGTAGCATTACCATATGATTCAGCATTCCATTTTTAGGTATATATCCAAAAGTATTAAAAGCAGGAACTTGAATAGGTATTTGTTCACCAATATTGTAGCAGCATTATATTTTGTATAGCATTTGTATAGCAATATTGTATAGCATTTGGCTATACTATAGCCAAAAGGTGGAAACAGCCCAAACGTCCAACAGATAAGTGGATAAACAAAATGTCTTATGTACATACAATGGAATATTATTCAGTCTTAAAAAAGAATGAAATTCTGATACATGCTACAACTTGGATAAACCGAGAAACATTATACTAATGGTATATTTTTTGTTACATGAATTTTACTACAAGAAAAAAAAACTTACTGGAAGGTATTAAAGATCATCAAGCAGGAATTCTCGTGATCTGACTTACTATTGTTTTTAGGAAGTATTCCATCTATTTTATAAAGGACAGACTTTTGAAGGGTGGAGAAACAAGATAAAAGCAGATGTGACAGATGAAGGGTTAGTAACAATATAGATGGAGTAAAATGGACAGATTTGAGATTTTGGAGATAGAACCACAAAGGTAGGTGATGGACTGGATGCAAGCAGTAAGAAAAAAGGTGAATCAAGAATGACACCCAGGTTCTTGGCTTGAGCAACCGAGTGGTACCATTAATAAGATCCTGGAAACTTCAGAAAGTACGTGTTTGGAATGAGGTGGAATCAAGAGTGCTTTTTTGACATGTTAATTTCAAGATGCTTATTTTGTCATCAAAATGGAGCTATTGAGTAGAAAGTTAAATATGTGAATCTGAGGCTAAGAGAAGTCCAGGTTGTCCCATCCCGGTGACCATGTTGATGATATTTAAAGCCATGGTACTGGATAAAATCAGAAAGAAAGAGACTGAGAGAGACACAGAGGGAGAGAAGAAAGGAGGAGAGAAGATAGAAAGAGAAAGAGAATGTAGAAAGAGAACAAGTCCAAGGAATGAGTTCTGGTCCACTTTGACATTAAGAGGTTCAGTAAAAAGGGAGGAGTCAGCAAAGAAGACTGAGATGGAGGGGCATGGAGGCAAGAGGGAAAGCAGGTAGCAGTTGGTGTCACCAACAGAGAAGAATGCTTCAAGTGGGAGGAGTCATTCATTTTCCTGTGTAGGAAAAACAGAGATGGGTCTTTAGCCCTACAGGACCCACCCCCTGCCCAATCTATGGACCTCTTCTTCTACAGCTCCTCTCACACGGTGTTCCAATCTCCTGGCTCTTCCTACACCAAACCACATTTGTTCCACCTGAGTCTTTATATTTACTATTCCATCTGCCAGGTTGTTCTTCTCACAAATCTTAACACGGCTTTTCCTTATTATTCAGATCCCTGCTTAGATATTACTTCTTTATTTCCTGAGGAAGATTCACCCTGAGCTAACATCTGCTGCCAATCCTCCTCTTTTTTTCTTTTTTTTTTTTCTGCTTTAGGAAAATTAGCCCTGAGCCAACATCTGTGCCAGTCTTTCTCTATTTTGTGTGGGGGTCACCACCACAACATGGCTGATGTGTGGCATAGGTCCATGCCTGGGATCCTAACCCATGAACCCAGGTCGCCAAAGTGGAGTGCGCAGAACTTTGATCACTAGGCCATGGGACCAGCCCTAAATGTTAGTTCTTCAAAGAGGCTTTCCTTGACTGTCCAAGATAATCCCACACCTCCCCTGCTCCACAAGTCCCTCTGTAGTCCCTTATCCTGACATATTTTCCCCAAAGTACATAATCACTATCTGAAAGTACACTTTTTGTTTGTTTCTTTGTTTTATTTGATTATTTGTATCCACTCTCCCCACTAGAATACACATGGAAGAGACTTTATCTGTCCTTTTTGCTTCTGCATCTACAGGGCCTGGCTGTAGTAAATATTGAATAAATATCTGTTACATGAAGGAATAAATGAGTGCAGGTGGAGAGAGGTGTAAGGATTTGCTGGTGGAAATACAAAAGAAGTCTACTCTTTTCTTGGTCACTTTTGACCCAAAGCTATTGGCTGAGAATTAGTCTGTAAGAGAGCTGTGTTAAGAGAGAGGAAGATAAAAGTATAAAATAGGATTTTTGGAGAATGGAAAAGTAGAATTGTTGAAAATTATTAAGTGCTCAGTTGCGTTTTGTGGTTACAAATTCAAAGTGAATTCATTCAACAAGCATTTAACTGCCCAATCTGGGCCAGATCCTGTGCTAGTTTCTAGTGATTTACCAGGGGAGTAGTCTGGCCAAAGGAGTTTACCTTATATCCTAAAACTTGACACTGTTGTGGGGACTGTCCTTTCTCCCCAACTTCTAGAAGATGTGCTGATAGCAGTGATAGGAGTTGAATTTACTTGAGTTCAATTCTCATTTTCTGAGCACCTATATGGTGCAAAACATTTTATTCAGCACTGTAGGATTATATTCAAGTCATGTAACACATTGCCCCTGTCCCCACAGATACTGTAAACTACTTAGGGAAGCTCAGTATTTAGACAGGCCAACATACATGACCTACAACTTGAGGCCTTGAGAACCAGGTTAAGTTGAACCAAACTCTTGGGTAACATCCACTGATTAACACTGTCTGAGCTAGACTCTTGACTTCCTCTTGGCAAGAATTCTATTTCCTGTTTGAAATTGCTTTTCCCTAGGAAGTTCCACATTAGGACAGCATAGGAGAGGGGCCTGGGGAGAGGAAGCCACCCCTACAGGAAGCTTATCAAGTTGCAAGCATTTGGTTGTAAGAAACAGAACATCCAACTCGAACTACATAGGAAAAAAGAGCGTACATTGCAGGTGTCATTGAAAAGTCCAGAAATAGAGTGAAATTCATATGTTGTTTGATCAAGACTCCAGCATAGTCTTGGTACTTGTCTCTGCTCTGCCTTCCTTTCTGTGTTAGCTTCATCCTCAGGCTTGACTCCTGTAAGACAAGATGGATAGATGGCTGCATCAGCCCCAGGCCTCCAATTTCCACATTGTACCATTTTGGAGGAGAGGAAACCTTTCTTTCTCCACCCACCAAAAGTCTTCTGCTCTACTCGACCCAACTTAGTTCTCACACCCCTTGGAACTAATCACTGAGACTAGGGCAATGTCAGGGGCTGATGGGCATAGATTTGGAAATAGGAAGGTAATTGCTAAACCAGTCAGTATGGCAACAGGGATGAGATTATGTGGATTGGTTTAGGTCAGTCAGAACCTTCCCCCTCTTTGGCTGAGGGTGGGGGTGGTCAGGAGTCAATCCCACCCATGAACATTGTGTTAGGAAGTAGGAAGGGGGGATTTTTCCAGAAAGGAAAGCAACCGTGTACACCAAAGGTAGACCCTCTGAAACTGGAAAGATTCAGACTCATTCACTAAAAGAAGGCCATAATATGATGAGTGATATCTGGGGAAATGAATCAGGGCCTGTGAAGCATTTTGTAAGAATGATCCACTACACAATAAGAGTACGGTCATTGGAATGCTTTGTACACATTCTAACTCTGCAGACTGCGTGAGCTCAGGATTGTTTCACTGCTGTTGCTCTGGCAGCAGCCTGCCTTGCCAAGATTGTTATTGTGGGACCAGCTGAGCTATAGAAACCTAGCAGGTTCTTTAGCTCCTCATTCATCTCTGTGACGTTTATTACCTATTTCATAACATAGCCCCCTCAACATCAAAATAAAAAAATTGGAGGAAGGTCAGCAGCCGTGGAACCAATATACCTCCTTGCAGCCCCTTCTCAACACAAATCCAAACACCTTTCCAGGAACGGGGCTGGCCCTTCATTGGTTCAGTATCTCTCATCACTCTCTTCTCTGAAGGGAGCAAAGCCATTGCCACCTGCTTATCAGCCACTGCCTCTCGCCGTGGAGATGTCAGGGTGGCCACACGTGGGTAAGAAGCCTGGTTTGGAAGTCATCACAGCTGGGTTCCAGACCTGGCCACACTGTGGGACCTGCTGTGTGACCTCAGTCCTTTCATCTCTCTGAGTCTCCTTTCCTCCTCTGTAAAATTAGCTAATGCTGCCCTATCGAGTTTTAAGCTCCCAGGTTTTTATGACCCAAGGCAGACTCCCTGGTAGAAACGTCTCAATCCTAGTTCAAAATTAGGAAGATGTCCTATCTTAGTTTGGATGCCCCAGGAAACAGATTCTGAGAGGGAGATTCGTGTGAGCAAGTTTGTAGGGAGTGCTCTTGGGATCAACACTCAGGAGGGGGGGAAGTAAGGAGGATGGGGAGAGGGATGGGTTGAACTGCAGTGCAGTCTTAATGCAGGCTTCAGCCATCATCACGCAGGGAGCAGAAGAGCTGCACGGCCCTTCAGAGCTCAAACTGAGGCAAGGGGGCTAAGTTTTTGTCAACAAGGCACTGGATGCGCTTCCCCTAGAGGAGGGCCCGCCTTTGGGCGAGGCGGTTCTCTGAAGCTGTTGGCAATTGCCTGGGAAGGACTCAGCGGTGAATTTTCAACAGCCAACAGTCCCGGAAAGCAGGGGACTGAAGGCCTCAGTCTTGAAGGGGGATCCGGGGGTCTGAGTGACGGACCGCAGCACCCACTACATCCTAAACCCGCATCCTCTGAATACAGAGATTAGGGCAACCAGGGGCCATGTCTCTTCCCTTCCCAGTCTCTTGTCCCCATATGATGACCCAAGGGTCTCAACTTTTCCTTTAGTGGTTTGTGAAGGAAAAATTCATCCTGGAGTCCTTCCTTACCTCGCTGTCATCCAATGATGTGACTGGGCATAACCCAGTTGTGCAAACAGCCCTCAGAAGAAAGCCAGCTTCCTTGGCATGACAGAGGTTGTTATTACAGGATGGCATTACAGATGGTACTTTGACCCTTGTAAGCTAATGCACTGCCTTCTAAGGGCTTTTTAATTTATCCCCCAGGAAAAAAAAAAAATATGATGCATTGAATATTAGTTTTGAGAACCACTCTACTGTTGCATATGCTTGTGACAGTTGATAACGCCTTGTGTGATGTTATTAACACTCCCTCACTAACCTAGGGCAACCAGAGGCGAGCAGCTTTTTTCTGGAGGGGCCCTGTGTCTGAGGAATGCTCTCCATCCCGTTAATAAGAGTGAGAAAAAAACTTTCTTTACCAACTGAGATAACCAAGCTAATTTTACCATTTCTTTTTCCTTTACCTGCTATTTTTCTGATTTAACTATTTTAGAGTACACTTTTCTTATATTTCTGTCCTTTGGTTTTGAGCAAAAGGCACATCTCAAAAATATCCAATCAATAAGGAAGATGCAATTCCATTATGCATCACTTCCCTTAATAGGACCTATTTAAACTTGGACTTCCTGGAACTAAGATATTCAGCGGTTTATCAGAAATAATTAGACAGTTTGAATAAAGCATATTCGCAGGTCCACAACTGCCTCTTCGGATATAAATTTCTACAAAGCCATTATAAGAACTCTCTTAAAGCTACTCCACTTAAAGTGACATTCTCATTTAAATAGAATTATCCTAGTGTGGTTGTTTAGGAAGAAGGATATAGAGACAGAACCCCCAAAATAGTTGTTTTTAAAATCAATAAAGAGGTTTAGGAGAATTCGACTTTCCAAATGTAACTCAATGTGTTAGAAGACATTTTCCTGCCTGAGGAAATTCTCACCATTATAAATCAATTGTAAATTTCTTACCGAGAATCTACTTCATGCCCAACACTGCTGGCCCGAGTACGGTAGCTCAAAAAGTACAAAGGAATTTCCTGCCCTTGAGAAATTTACAATCTCGCTGGGGAGAACAGACTAGCACACGAAATAATTAAAGCGCAATTAAGTCTAAAATGCTCCAAGTTTAGCGGTAGTTCTGGGCGGGGAGGGCTCAGTCACCGCAGGCTGATGTAGACATGAAAGCTTTTACAAAGGGGTTAGGAGTGAAGCCTTTGAAAGCCCCAACTGAACTGCAAAAGTATTTTCTGGGAGGGGCAGCGTTTTAAGTGTTCATTACTTTTTAATGTCTCATCTATAAATTATTGATTAGACTGCTGAACACTGAGTTGTACTTAAAAGGAATGGCCGACAGTGGATCAGGTGAGCTTGGAGGAAAGGAGGACCCAGAGATTGTCTGAGAGCTGGTGGCACCACTTGAGGGAGGGCAGGCATGGGTGAGAGTCCCCAGGGGTGTCAGCAGAAGGGTATTGACCCTTGGTCAATGTGGACAGAAAGACTCAAAGAAGCGAAGAAGAAGTAACCAAGGGGAGGTTTCCCCAAAGCAATCTATGCCTGCTCCAAGATTCAGGGCGCAATTTGCTGATGCTCCATTGAGTATAAAGGGAGCTGACAAGTATTGTAGCCTCTCTGGTCATTTTAGATCACCTCGATCCTGGAACCAGTTGCTGTCTGCAGGGGTTTCTTAATAGCCCCATGCTTCTTTGCTAATTCTCAGAATTAACAGTGCTAGCAGGGGAACATTGTCTGATAGAGCCCCGGAAGGTGAGAGGATAGCACAAAAGCTGGGCAGGGTTCTGCTCTCCTGGACGCAGGGTCACTAGAAATCAGAATCAACTCAACGGCACTAAGAACAACAACAAAAAGTGCTAGAGAGCATAGTGGGGAAGACCTGAGTCCCTGCAGCATGACTCAAGGCTTCCAAAGAGAAACCTAGAAGAGTATACAGTAGGCAATCGATAACAATAAACCATTAATTGAGCAGCTACTCTGCCTGGCACTGCAGTATACATTTACAGTCAGTATCTCGTTTAATCTTCAAAATCATACTTTGAGACTACAGTTATCCAACTGTACAGATGAGGAAAGTGACCCTCCTGGAGGTTATGTAGCATACCTTAAAGGAATTATTAGAATGACTCCATAATTCATTCACTGAGTGAATAATTGAATGAACCAATCAATTAAGAATCCTCCATGAGAATGAAAATTACCAAAATTATCAAGATTTGTAAAATGCCTGAGTATTGGCAAAGTATTTCATATATGTTACCTCTCTTGATTCTCACCACAATTATGCAAGGAATACATTTTACTTTTCTTCTGCAGATAAGAAATTGCCAAAAAGGGCATGTGACTGACCTGTGGTTTCTCAGCTAGTAGGAATAGCTTGAAACAAGATTCAAACCCAGGTGTACAAACATCAAAGTCACCTTTTCTTTTTCTTGCCTAATTGCTCTGGCAAAAACCTCCAGTACTTTGCTGAATAGGAGTACCAAGAGTGAGCACCCTTGTCTTGTTCCTCTTCTCAGAGGGATGACTTTCAGTTTTTCACCATTCAGTATGATGTTGGCTGTGGGTTTGTCATATATGGCCTTTATTATGTTGAGGTCCTTTCCTTCTATACCCATTTTATTGAGAGTTTTTATCATAAATGGATGTTGGATCTTGTTGAAATTCTTTCTCTGCATCTATTGAGATGGTCATGTGGTTTTTATTGCTCATTTTGTTAATGTGGTTTGTCACATTGATTGATTTGTGGATGTTGAACCATCTCTGAGTCCCTGGTATAAATCTCACCTTATCATGGTGTATGATCCTTTTAATGTATTGCTGTATTCGGTTTGCCAATATTTTGTTGAGGATTTTTTCATCTATGTTCATCAGTGATATTGGCCTGTAATTTTCCTTCTTTGTGTTCTTGTCTGATTTTGATATCAGGGTGATGTTGGCCTTATAGGATAAGTTAGAAGGAGTTCCATCTCCTTCAATTTTTTGGAATAGTTAGAGAAGGATAGGTATTAAATCTTCTTTGAATGTTCCAGAGAATTCTCCAGAGAAGCCATCTGGTCCTAGACTTTTGTTTTGGGGGAGGTTTTTGGTTACTGTTTCAGTCTCTTGACTTGTGATTGGTCTATTCGGATTCTCTATTTCTTCTAAGACCTGAAACCATAAAACTCCCAGAAGAAAATATAGGTAGTACATTCTTTGACATCAGTCTTAGCAGCATCTTTTTGAATACCATGTCTACTCAGGCAAGGGAAACAAAAGAAAAATAAAGAAATGGGACTATCTCAGACTAAAGAGCTTCTGCAAGGCAAAGGAAACCATGAACAAAATGAAAAGACAGCCCACCAACTGGGAGAAAATGTTTGCAAATCACACATCCAACAAGGGGTTAATTTCCAAAATGCATAAAGAACTCATACAACTCAACAACAACAAAACAAACAACCCAGTCAAAAACTAGGCAGAGGATATGAATAGACATTTTTCCAAATAAGATATACGGATAGCCAACCGGCACATGAAAAGATGTTCAACCATACTAATTATTAGGGAAATGCAAATCAAAACTACAATCACATATCACCTTACATCTGTGAGAATGGCTATAATTACCAAGACAAAAAACGACAAATGTTGGAGAGGATATGGAGAAAAAGGAACCCTCATACACCACTGGTGAGAATGCAAACTGGCATAGCCACTGTGGAAAACAGTATGGAGACTTCTCAAAAAATTAGAAATAGAAATACCATATGATCCAGCTATCCTACTACTGGGTATTTATTGAAAGAATTTGAAATCAACAATTTAAAGAGATTTGTGCACCTCTATGTTCATTGCATCACTATTCACAATAGCCAAGATGTGGAAGCAACACAAGTGCCCATCAACAGAAGAATGGATAAAGAAGATGTGATATATATATATACAATGGAATACTACTCAGCTGTAAAAAAAAAGACAAAATCATCCTATTTGCAAAAACATGGATGGACCTTGAGGGAATTCTGTTAAGTGAAATAAACCAGACAGAGAAAGAGAAACACCATATGATGTCACTCATACATGGAAGATAAACTAACACATGCACAAAGAGAACAGATTAGTGGTTACCAGATGGGAAAATGGTGGGAAAGTGGGCAAAAGGGGTAAAGGGGTACATATGTATGGTGATGGATAAAGACTAGACTATCGGTGGTGAGCAAAACGCAGTCTATACAGAAACTGATAGATAATCATGCACACTTGATATTACACAATGTTATAAACCAATACGACCTCAATAAAATAATTGAAAGAAAAAAGACCAGTGGTTGCCAAGGTTTAAGAGTAAGGAGAGTTGAATAGGCAGAGCACAGAGGATTTTTAGAGAAGTGAAACTATTCTGTATGATACTGTAATGGTGTCATGGTGCATAAATGTCATACATTTGTCAAAACTCATAGAATGTACAACACAAAGAGTGAACACTAATGTAAACTATGGACTTTGTTAATAATAAAGTATCAATATTAGCTCGTCAATTGTAACAAATGTACCACACTAATGCAAGATGTTAATAATAGGAGAGATGTTAATGTTAACGCTGGGAGAGTGTGAAGGAAACTGTGCTCCTCAAAAAAATAAAGTCTATTAACTTAAAAACAAACAAAACAAAAAGCCACCTTTGTTCCCACAAAAGGCTCCAGGTCTAGGAATAGGATGAGAGTCTGAGGTTGAAGAGAAAGGACGCCCTCACATGGATGAACACAGTTACACATTACAGAATTGGTTCAACTTTCCCATGATTATTCTTCTTGTGGTTCCCCTCTATCCGCATTATTTTGCACACAAAACCTGCCTTTTTTCAGAGGGGAATTTTTTGTGCAATTCTGGTGGACAGCAGGGAAGGTGAGCATGGCTAGAGTCAGCATCCCACCCTGAAATGAACTGGTCTCTTGCAGAGGAAAGACGTAATCACAGTGATCGATCTCAAGAATTAGGAGAGAAGCCGGGAGAATCCCTGGGGGTTGTGAAAAAGAAGAAAAGGAGCAGAGAGGAACGAGAACAGACTTGAAAGTTGGCATTGGGGCTTAGCTAGTGAGACACCTGCCTAGTCCCTCCTACTGGGAATGTTACCATGGTAGTGAGGTGTCTGGGAACAGACCTCTTCAGCCAAATTCCCTGCCCATCCCCCAGCAGCCATCCCACAAAGCCAGCCCCTCTCTTGGAAAGACAGAGTGGAAACCATTAAGAGAATGCAGTTCCTCGCTGACTTTGCCATGGGGAGTACCAGGCAGATCCCTTGAGCCAGACTTTCTTCGAATGGAAGAGCTAGTGGAGTTGCTGCCATGGCAACGCAGTTCCCCTGCCCATTTCTACCATCGGTGAGCAGGGGGAGATCCCTGGAGGAAGTGGTTCCCCACCTACTTCACCAAGGCAGGGAAATCGCCAAGGACACAGATGGAGAGGAGCCTTAGGGAATGTTCCCTCCAGCCTGAAACGGCTACTGGAAGTTGCCATGACAACCAGATTCCTTGCCCACCAAACCATGAAGGAGGGAGACGAGGCTGAGCTCAAGGGCTGCAGCCTGCCCAGGCCAGTGCAGCTCTGGGCTCCCACTCGGGCTCTGTGGGGAGGGTCTGTCTTAGGTCAGAGTTATCCCCGGGAGCCCAGTCCTTTCCTGCAGGATCTCGAAGGACTGGCTGGGTATTAGCTCTTTTCCATGAAAGGACAGCGCTAATAAAGCAGGAGGACAAAAAGAAATGGCTAAAGAAAACAGATGGATAGCTGCTGTCAATCTCAACGGGACTTTGCCATTGGGAAGCATTTGAATTCCATGTATCATATGTAAATGTCCTTATTTTTGCCTCTGTTCTTGAGTTCCCTCAGGTAAATCCCTTGAGTAATAGTAATGTGTCTAATATTCAAATAGGTGGGTTTTGCCTCATGGGAGCAAAAGGAGTGGAAAGCAAAGCTGGGAGTAGTTGTAGATAAGCAAGTTTAAAAGGTTCATATTTGCATATTTAAGTATGCCTGTGTATGTGATTTCTATGATTAAAACTTAGTCTAAACCACAGAAATCCAAAATAACTAGAAACAGAACTGTTTTAGGAGCCAAAAGGCATGGGCTCAAGGATCCCAACACTGTTGATCACAAGAAATATGTGACTCAGTTAAAGCCCAGCCTGTGGAGTCAGACACCTCTGGGTCTGCATCCCTGTCCGTTGTCATATCTACTAGTCAAATCCAGAGACTAATGTGCGTGAAGGATGAATAAAACACACTGATATCTAATTGATCACTTTTTTTAAGACAGCTTTATTGAGGTATAATTGACATACAATATATGGAGTATATTTAAAGTGTATCATTTGATGAGTCTTGAATATGCATGCCCCCTTGAAACCATCAGTACGATCAAGTGAATATATCCATCCCCCTCAAGTCTTCTCGTGCCCCTTTGTGATTTCTTCCTCCCATCCTTTCCTGCCTCCCACACTGAAGCAACCACTGACCTACTTTCTGTCAGTATAGATTCATTTGCATTTTCTAAAGTTTTATATAAATGGAATCAGATAAGGTGTACCCTTTCTTGTCTGATTTCTTTCACTCAGCATAATCATCTTGACATTCCTCCATGTTGCTTTGTGTACCAATACTCCGTTCCTTTTTATTGCTGAGTGTATTCCATTGTATGGATGTGCTGAAATTTGTGTATCCACTCATCTGTTGATGGACATTTGGCTTGTGTCTGGTTTGGGGCTATCACCAAGAAAGCTGCTGTGAATATTTGTGTACAAGTCTTTGTATGAACATATATTTCCTTTTTTCTTGGGTAAAAATATAGAAGTGGAATGGTTGGATCATATGGTAGGTGCAGGCTTAACGTTTAAAGAAACTGCTAAATTTGTTTTCCAGAGTGATTGTACCATCAGAAATGTATGTGAGTTCCATTTCCTCCACATCCACGCCAACATTTGGTATGGTCAGTCTTTTTAAATTTTAGCCATTCTAATAGGTATATAGTGGTATCTTGTTGGGTGATAGGTCCTTTTTATTGCATTTCCTCTAGTTGGGTCATTTTCATTGGCTTCTGGGTTCAGAAAAACAGCATCACTTGAAACATAATAGGGGTGAGTGCTGAATTAAACCAGCTAACAGGGCACATGGCTAAATTTGCATTAAAGAGAAGCAGGAATTAGGCTTATTTCACCATCATTTTACATCCAAGAATGACACAGAGACACGGTACAGTGACCTTAGTACAAGATGCTGGCAGCAGATGACGTTTCATGCTCCCAGGTGATCACAGTTACAGCTGCTATTTATCAGGTTCCTATTCTGTATCAGAGACACTGTGCTAAGGGCTTACATAAATTCTTTCTTTTCATTCACAAAACAATACAGTGAGGTAGGTATTATTATCCCCATATAGCAGTGGATGGAATCGAAGCTAAGAGAGATTAAGTAATCTTTGCCCAAGGTCACTTGGAATAAGTAGAAAACGCCTGCCCAAAGCCAGTGCTGGGTGCAAAACCTGTGCTCTTAAGTACTCTGTTCTAAGCTTCCCAGGTGGTTATGTATATAGAAGCTGTCTGCCTCACGGATGGCATCTGGATTAATTGGAATAGGATAATAAAATGAAGGAATTGAGAGAATTATTAATTTCCTTCTCACATTTGTCATCTAGTCTCAGGTCCTCCAACAAAACCATTATTTCCTTGCCAGCTTTAGGCTCTCCCTCCCAAGCTTCTCCTGCTGCTACGTGCTCTGCTTGTATGATCTGATTAGTTCTTAAATACCACAATAATTCTGTGATTTACATTTCATCTCAATGTACGTATACAGTACCAACTCCTGAATGTGCAAAGCTATAAGAAGGGACGTAAAGGGGCCGGCTCCATGGCCAAGTGGTTAAGTTCGCGCGCTCCGCTGCGGCGGCCCAGGGTTCGGATCCTCGGCGCGGACATGGCACCGCTCGTCAGGCCACATTGAGGCGGCGTCCCACATCCCACAACTGGAAGGACATGCAACTAGGATATGCCCCTGTCTACAGGGGGGTTTGGGGAGATAAAGCAGACAAAAAAAAAAATAGATTGGCAATAGTTGTTAGCCCAGAAGCCAATCCTTAAAAAAAAAGGAAGACTGGCAACAGTTGTTAGCCCAGGTGCCAATCTTTAAAAAAAAAAAAAGAAGGAACGTAAAGGCAGAAAATATACATACAGGGGCTGGCCCCACGGCCAAGTGGTTAAGTTCGCCAGCTCTGCTGCAGCAGCCTAGGGTTTCGCTGGTTCGGATCCTGGGCGGGGACATGGCACTGCTTGTTGGGCCACGTTGAGAGGGTGTCCCACATGCCACAACTAGAAGGACCTGCAGCTAAGATCTAAAACTATGTACCAGGGGGGATTGGGGGAGATAAAGCAGAAAAAAAAAAATAAAGATTGGCAACAGTCGTTACCTCAGGTGCCAATCTTTAAAAAATTTTTAAAAATATACGTACAAATCTTGTTTTAACAGTTTTACAAATCCACTAGAAAAATGAATATAATTCAGGTTCACAGCTGATCATTTGATCTATCCAAATATCTACGTAAAAGTACTCAACCTTACTAGTTATAAATAGGCAAGTTAAAAATCAGACACCATCAGTTACATGTCAATTATATCTCAATAAAGCTGGGGAAAACATTTTTAATGAAAAAAATCAGACACCAGATCTTTTTATCTATCTCATCTATTTGCAGAGGTAAGTTTACACACACATAAACACGCGCACACACACACACACACACACGGAATGCTAAAGAAGTTGCAGTGGGCCAGGACCTCACACACCGCAGGTGGATTTTTGAATTGCAACCGCCTTCCTCAAAGGAAACTGGGCAAGATATATATGCAGAAGCTCTCCCACCACCTGGCCCAGTGGTCATCCTTCTAAAACTCTACAGTAAGGACTGAGACTGAGAATATAAGATTTACCTAAAAGCTATTGATCCTTGCCTTATAACTGTAAAAACTATAAAAACAACAGAAATGTTGACCAGTAGGAGACCAGTTAGATAAATCTTAATATAGTCATACACGGTGGACTATTATAAGCTGCTGAAAATTACACTTTTGAGACATATTTAAAGACATCAGGAGATGCCACTTTATAATGCTAAGTGAAACCAACGAAGATACAAAATTGTATGTAGGGCGTGATTCCAATCTTATAATAGAAATCATATATATATGTACTGAAATTTTGTCAAATACTTATATTTTTGCTTTCAGAACAGAAGATTGGAAGGAAAGACACCAAAATTGAATAACAGGGATATTGTGTGGGATTTTAATTTTATTCTTTATGTTTCACCTGTATTTTCTACAGTTAGAATTACTACTTTTACAGCCAGCAAAAAAATGATTCTAGCTTTTTAAAAAAGACACAGAGCAGGGTGTCGGCCAGTGACCAAGCGATTAAAGTTCCATGTGCTCTGCTTCAGAGGCCTGGGTTCACGGATTCAGATCCTGGGTGCAGACTTACTCTACTCATCAGCCATGCTGCGGAGGCAACCCACATACAAAGTAAAGGAGGATTGGCACAGATGTTAGCACAGGGCTAATCTTCCTCAAGCCAAAAAAAAAGGAAGATTGGCAACATATGTTAGCTCAGAGCAAACCTTCCTCACCAAAAGAAAATGCTGAGCAAAATAATACATGAATCTGGCTCTGACAATTCATTGCTCAACTTCCTACCTCACCTCATCCACCTAAACGTGGTGAACTGAGGCTTGGAAGAACCCCTCAAATTGGGAATGCCGCTATTATCTGGTAAAATGCAATGACTTTTCTATCTGGGCTCTGTGACATAGATTTTTACCCTTTAGAAAGGAAGACCACCAGTGACTTGTACAGAAACACTAAGACCTAATATCAGCTGTCTTGAATAAGGCCACTACCCCTCCATAGGAGGAGGAAGGCTGTGTCATACCCTGAATCACCTATTTCTAGCAAACTCCTTTGTATACATACAGCATGCCCATATCAGCAAAAGTATCTCAGAAAAAGCCCCACAAATAAGGAGTCAAAGTCACATGAAAGAGTCAGAGGCAGCAGGATCAAGGACCCCGTGCGGGAGGGACATACTGCACAACAGACAGAAAGCAGGCCTCTATCAGTGCATTCCCCATCGTCACGGGGACTAACTCACATCCTGTGACATTGCTTTCTGTCCTTGATTATCTCAAATCCATGAAAATATTATCAATCAGCCTTTCTGAAAAACACCAACTAATGAGCCACATTTCCTTTTCCTTCATTTGTCTGTGTTAGCAGAGTCAATGTAAACCTTCCTGAAATAGAAGCCAGCAAATTTCTTAAAACGTTTTTCTGATGAGTGGCCCTCCCCACTTTCTCTCTCCTATTATTTTCCATGCCTCTCAGAAGAAAAATAAAAGAATTAATCAAAATGCTTTTCCAATTGTTATGCTCTGGTTAGTGGTG